ACATTGCTAATGCCTCATTGTTCGGTAGTTCTAATACTTACGAAATGTCTGCCTAACTTAGCGCGAAATCGGCGTCACTTTTTTTTTCAAATATGATGGCTTGTGTTCCGGCGACCTTGCCTTCCTCAGAACCTAGACGTCCCATACTATACCATATTTCATTATTCGGTTGAAATTTCCTAATTCCATGTTTAAAAGCGCAAGTTAAATTTCAATTAATGAGTAACACATGCATTTTACAGGAAGAATCGATAGTGTTTTTTCCTAGCATGGGTTGAAAATAATGGCAAGAAGAAATTTGAGATCTGAGCTGAACATAGCCTGGCTGGTGGGTTAAGATAGCATCATTTTTGTTCGAGTCACATCCATGAAGTCTTGGATCTTCGTACTGTTTTGTTCTTTCTATCATTATTTTATATTATTTTTCATAGATTCAACTACATCGAGCTGTCTTAGCACCACAGGTAATTGAACAAATAGCTGGATAAATAAGGTTTTCTTCGTTACCATCTCTGTATCGTCACATTTTTAGGCACTTGGGCATCTCTAGCATGGAATGCGTATAAATGCTCTGGGAATACTTGGACGTCTCGTCGAATAATTGGATATCAGCGAGAGGTAGCGAACTAGTCGATTTCTTGACGAGTTTTCCGCCCATCTCGATGTTTATTTGTGCATTTGTGTTGGCGATGCTGATGTCGTTATTTTTGTTGTTTTTGGCCAATCAGTGCCTCGTCGTTCATCCAAATATCTACAGTCATCTCTTTGATGATTTATTAGGAAGGTAAGTGATATTTGATTCATTTCTGTAAAAAAAAAGCTCACGATTGTTAGCAAGTAGTGGGTGCGATTACCATAGCGTTAACAATGAGCACTAGCAGTCAAGGGTGTTTCTCGGGCAGTATTTCGAGATGTCCTATACTACACACCTGGTCTTTGGTTCTATACCGCGCCCCCTTTGCTGGGCACACCAATCCTTCCACCCTTTTAGGATCGTCAAATTGGTGTCAGACTTGTCTGGGAGGGCAGTAGCACCGAATTGACATATCGGCAAGCCACAGCAAGCTAATATAATGATGGCCAGATGTTCACCTAGACGATGCTTGATGGAGTCGAACGCATGATGCATTGATAAACTCAGGCATTGATAAACGCTGAACGCCTTATCCTTTTACTAGGAGTCATTAGGGTGGTAAAGGCAGTTCCTCTCTTATTCTCTCCGGAACCTTGTGGAATTCTCCAATTTCTGCACTGTATTATTTTTCAATATAGTGAAAACAAAGTGACAGAGTGATTAGAGTTGAATCTACTGAGAAGAACGGATGAAAATAGATCAGTTTCTATTGAGAAAACTGAGCCGGCAAGGAGGCTGGTAGCCCATTCGTAGTACGTGATAACTCGAGTGATTAGCCACGTTATGTTTGAGTCTATCTGGTCTACTTGCTAGTGATGGAAGATGATGAATTGTATAAGATACAAGTACACTGATACTGAGACATGTGAAAAACTGAGAACCTGTTTCTCTTGGCCATGTTTCTATTCTATCGGTACTATCAGCAATCACCCAAAGAAGCAGAAGTTGAAATATCATTAAAAAGAAATGAACCTAAATAAAAAAATAATAAACAAATAAATAAGATAAATAAATAACAAATATAGAAGAGTATGGACGTATTTAATATAACAAACTAACGATGAATCTTTAACTTAAAATAAATGATGTAAATAGTACAGTGAAGTAGAAAAATAACAATACATCAATAGAATCACCTGTATCACCTGTAGTCCCGTTGGTCGTCGAGTGACTCGGGCGGGCTCCAGTAAATCTTCCATTTTTCCCTGTCGCGTGCAAAAGTAGCCCACTGGGTTCTGCTCGTTGTAAGGTCTCGTTGAACAACATATCTTTCTCATACGCTCTTCGTGAAGAACGTTGACCATCGGGTCGGTGGTCTTCCTCTAGTGCGTTTAACATCCCGTGGAATCAAGTCACTAACGGCTCATGTCCATCGGTTGTCAATCATGCGAAATGAGTGTCTGGCCCACCTTGTCCTCGACTGTTTGGTGTAGAAAACGGCATCTTTGATTTTTAATCTTTGACGCAGATCGGAGCTTCGGATCCCATCCCTTACTTGTGTGGAACGGGATACTCCTAGCATCATCCTTTCGACTGCGCGTTCGATAACGCTGAGTGATCTTTCATCCTGCTTACGCAGCTACCAGGTTTCTGACGCATACGTTAGGGCAGTAAGTACCGTTGAGTCGAAAAGGTGGGCACGGAATACGGCGTTCTTTGTCGTTTTCACTACCTTCTCGATTCTCTTGAAAGCTCTCCAAGCCGCTCGTTTCCTGCTCAGCTCTGGAGCTAAGTCGTTCATCATAGTGATTTTCCGACATAGATAAACATAACTGGAGCATTCGGTGATATTCGTTCCGCTAAGCGTGAATAGGGCATACGAAACCAATCCGTTCCTCATGAACAACGCTTTTTTGAGAGATAGTCGAAGACCAATCTTTCCACAGACTTTATCAAAGTCGGCAAGCATACGTTCCACTTGGCCAATGTTTGGTGTTATAAGGGCGATGTCATCAGCAAAGCAAAGATGATGTAACTGCCGACCATCGATTTTCACTCCCATATTATCCCATCCCAATGTTCCCATGACGTTCTTGAGGGTGGCGGGAAATAATTTTGACCACATCGTATTGCCTTGCCTAACCACTCTTTTAATGTCACTGTTAATATCGTTGTAGAATGATGATATCTTGGTTGTGAAATTTTTGTACAGCTCACGAAAAATCTTCATGTACTGACTACGGACTCCTTGACTATCAAGGGCTTCCATGACTGCTTCTATCTCAATTGACTCAAAGGCCTTCTTTAAATCGATTAAAGCGAGACAGAGCGGTCTTTTGTACTCTCGTGATACCTCATTGAGTCTTGTTATCGTGTCGGTGTGGTCCATCGTACAAAATCCTTTCGAAACACTGCTTGCTCACATGTGGATATTCTTCGTCCAGTGTTCTGTTAGTCCTGTTTAGGATGACTCGAGTGAAAAGTGTGTATACGACAGACAGCAAGCAGATTGGACGATAGTTGCCGATATTGTGTAGGTCACCCTTGTTGAACAATAACAACGGTCTTGCTGGTTTTCCACTGAGTAGGGGCCTTGCATTCGGACAGGTAACCTGTGAAGAGCTGAGCCAGTGTGTTTACAAAGACTGGCGGAAGGTTCTTCAGGTGTTCTAGTCTTATCCTGTCCGGACCTGGTACTGTTCGATTTTTCATCGACGAAATGGCATGCCGGATTTCGAAGTGGATAACTGGTGGGACATATTCATCTTCCTTTATTTCATATGACAGAAGGTGTACGTGGCTATCGAAGAGATCTGAGTAGTATTCGTGAACGATTTTCTCCATTGCCTTTCTGGACACTGTAACTATTCCGTCTGAGAGTCGGAGTGCGATCATCTTGGTCTTGTAATTGGCGATGCATCGGTGGACTTTGTGAATGCTTTTCCCAGTTTCTGCAGCTTCGACCATTACTGTTGCTCTTCTCTCTTTAAGATCTTCTTTTGTCGCCTGTCTGCATGGTTTTGTAAATTCGGACGATAGTTCGCAGTTACCTGCAGCTCGTGCGATTCCATTCTGGTGTATAAGCTCGAGGGTTTCTGGAAACAGACGTCTCTTGGAGACTATCGAACTCTCAAGTTTCGTAGCTCTAACGTGAAGATGTTGAATGAACCGATCGTATTATTCTTCGATGTTATCGATGTTATTATTTTAAGTTTTCATATTATTTTTTATAAATTTTATTTGAACTGTTTTCACGTCTACCGTGCGGTTCCCAGCACTTTTCACATTTAATTAGTCTCCTCGCTTCCATCATCCACGAATATCTTCCAACTTTTCGAGTAGCTTCGGTTGCTGCTTGAGGATTTTTATTTCATCTTGAATATCGTAGAATACTGGTTGAGCAATTCTTACCGGAGACTTTAGATAGCCAAGCTGGAGCGTTCCCAACTAGATTTCAGAGGCCGATTTTTTCCCAGATTCCCAGACAAGTCCGGTACCAATTTCTTGGCCCCGCGTGGATGAGAGGCTTGGTTGGCCCGGAGCGGAATCGAACTAGAATCTTGCTCGTGATGGCGGGCACCACTACCACTATGCTATCTGCCTCTGATATAATATAATAGTAAATTTAAGAAATAATATAATAAAATAATAAGATAGTAATAAAAGAAACAATACAAACAGCAGAAATAAATGAAAATATAAAAAATAGGATAATGGGGATATATAAAAGTAAATGAAATAACTACTCCCAACGGTATACGTCCTTACCGTGATTGGAAGGTTTCACAGACAGTTGTTCTCCTATACCTTTATTTATGAGTTTTAGCTCACTGGAACTTTTCATCAACCAGTAATGTGGTGACAAATATGAGAGCGATGATAGAAGCAGATAGTGAGTGTGAGGGACAAGACCGTTTATTTTACTGCGCTAAACTTCTTGTAGATACAAATCCTCACTGTTTCGTCGACACTCAAACACTTCTTAGATAGCCGATGTTCACATGTATTGCGAGTCTCCTACTTCAACCACTCTCTACATTGTATAGGGAGCCGTCATCCACGAACATGGTCGATCTCAACTGTGCTTTCAACAGGATCTTGAGGACTTACTGCGTTCTCTCCTCATTAAGATTTTTGTAGTTCGTTTAATGTGGTTTTCACTCGAATAGCGATATCCTTCGAAGTGACCGCCCTGAAATGTTGCTGCCTTTTCATCACAGTCAGTAACTGGACCTCATGGACTTTAAGAGGGACTGCTACCACCGAAATGGAATTTCCGGAGACGGCAACCAATTTTGCGGATATTTAACCGTCCTGTGCATGTGGCAAACTTTTTGATATTTCTGTCGCATATTATCTATTGACTTATCCCAAGGTGATCGGATGATTTCTGTTTACTCTAACTAATTTTTTTTAAACAAAGGCGATGATTTTCTCCTTGAATAGCATTTTTAGGTATAATCGATTGGTACGACCGACAGCAAACGCAAATGATACGATTCGTATTGAGTTCAAGTTAAAGCTCAATCAAATCGTCGACGTACACGCGAAGCACCAAACGCTTACAGTGATTGGATGGCTGCTCCATGTCGGTTTCATACTCGTTCGTTCACGTTCACTAATGTTTTCGCTTTTCGACGTCTTCCTGTCATCTACGGGCATCTTTGTTCATTTGTTATAAGATTGCTGACGATGCTATCTGCATGAGTTGACTCACTCAGAACTCTGGAGTGGTAAAATTGTGAAGGGAAACTAGCCTCCGTAACCTTGCTGCACCTCTTTGGAATAGTGACCGAATTTGTGACCTTTCTAAGTTTAAACGACCTATAAATAATCTTGGCCCTTCTATTTTCTCCATGTTTTTGGCATATTGATTAAATTCACATGCAATGGTGGTAATATACGAGGACGGATGAAGTTCAACTCGGACCTTCGATTGTGGTCGTCATTTCCCAATTGTAATTGACCGAAATCCTCTCCAGCATTGTTTTTTTTACTTTTTTCCTATTTTCTCAAAGCTCTGTCTTGTTCCGATCTTTCTTAGAATATTCCGAAATTCTTTAGAGAAAGGAGAACCGAGCAGATTAAGACTGAGGATATTCGTTCGCCGCTCTGGCTGGTCTCGGACGCATACCTCTCAGAGCAGTCAGCTAATCGGAAAATTCAATTTGCAGAAATGTTCTCATAGATCCACTCGTCACCAAACCACCCAGGAAAACTTCTTCTACAGAGTACTCGAGTGGTCGAGTTATCGACCATGTATTACTCTGTGCGGCGGCTATCCACCAACTAACTTAAATACTTACAACAAATAAACGGCTCTGAAGAAGGCGAAACCGCCGAAACGTCAGCAATTGTGTTCTAATAAATTCTATATTAACAGCCTCGTGTCTGCTTATTGATGAAAAACATTGAATTATCAATAAATGCCGAGGTTAGCAGAAAGTCGGTCTTGGGAATTTAGCAAATTACCCGTAGAACGAAATATTTTTAGTATGAAATAGCTTGAGAGGAACTCCTTTGGTGGAATGTGGTGTTGGTTGGCCATGTTGGAATGAACCAAACCAAAGATCGCATATGTGCTTAGGAAGCCAGTCTAAGCACTTCGCTGTCCTTCTAAGAAAGCAAAAATGATAGTGATTCAAACAAACGTGATGCATGGATAGAAGTCTGGAAACCAGTGGTATTATGACGTGATAGGCTTCTTAGAGAACATGTCCTTGTTTTGCTCTTTGAAAAAATGATGATAAGGAACTCAGGCAGTAACCGTTCTTGAAAATCGGGAAGAAGAAGGTTTTGGTGAAATAGGATCCACATGAGACATGAGGTTTGATTCCGCTTAGGCTGCCCCCCGAGATCCTTCTTTATTACGTCGACGAAGCAGCGAAAGAAATCGCGGCACGCACCCAAACGGAATAGAGGATATTTCAAATGTATCCTGACATCCTTAGATGTTTCCCGATATTGTCTGCTGTGTATCTAGATTGCTTTAGATACTTCCCTTTGCATTATTAGGAACCTTTTTCCTACATTTATATATGTATTTTTTTTACAATAAAAAAGAACTGCAACTGCATAAAATCCAAGAAATTTGCTGCTATTTCAGCATTGGTACGATTATCGTCTATCCTGGAATCCGGAAGAGTACGGTGGTGTGAAAAATCTATACGTTCCAGGCGAGATGATTTGGTTACCGGACATTATTCTTTACAATAAGTTTGTGGACTCAGTCTGTTTTCTTCATAGAGTCTGTTTTCTTCATAGTTTCGCTTCTTACAATTTTTTTGCATCCTTGATAGGACAACTCAAGGCAGTCAAAACAATATTACAATTTCCCACTGGTGATCCCATTAGATTGTGAGTGACTATGAGTGACTATGTTACAAGAAAGTACTCTCTGAGTGATATGATGTATAGAATGAGCTCATTAAGTGACCATAAAGAAATCGTTTTGTTAGTCTATTTTGGTGTAATCTAAAACGCGCGTTAGAAGTAACTTTAGCGCAGCGGGTGGAGGTGCTGAGGTGCTCCGCACTACACAGGAAGTCATTTATTCGACCAGCTGCAAAAGGCGAAGCAAGCCTGCCATCCCTGCAGCAAATTCCTACTGGACTTGTCTTGAAGGATAGGATCACTTAAGGATTCATATATCGGTGAACCTTGCAGCCAATATTCATTCCATTACCTCTGCGATGCTACGAATGTGGTTGAATCCATTGCGCATTCCTAAAGGATAGATCAGCGCTTTGTCTTTCATTATACATCCTTTAAATGAATCATGTAGCTTTTGTTTTGGAGGTGCGTGTAGCGAAGTGGTTAGAGCATACCTGCAATACACACGCGGAAATTGGTTCGATTCGCGTCCAGGGCTCACCAAGATTTCCATCTCTCTGGAGTCGATAAATTTGTAACAAACTTGTTTGTGGAGATAACACCACTGACTTTATATATCATTAGCCTACCGCAAGTCATTTTATAGGGCAGATATGTTTTCAAAACCTCTTACGGTGCTTGATGAAGTCGGATGCAAGGCACTTCTATCAGTGACTGATCAACGTCGAGAGCTTTATTGCTCAACTTTGGCTTTAAGCTCATAAATGTCTTTCTACGCAAATATTGCTCTCTTATATTCAATCTTAGTACTCATTATCTAATGGTGAGGGTACAGTAGTGACAGAGAGCGGAATTTTCATGTACTTCTTGCTGATTTCGAACAATGGGATGAGCATGTAAAAATTAGGTTTTCGTGGTCCGCATTTTTTGTTTTTTTTCCAAAAGACCATTTTCAGAACAATATTGGCAATTTTCTAACGATTGAATTGCCAGTATTGAAAATTAGGGTCTACTTCAGAAGCACGTTGAAAATAATGTAATCATCATCCGAGTCATTTCTTTGTTATATTGTATCCATTTAGTTCCCAGGATCGACTTTCTATTAACCTCGGCATTGAAATATGAATGTGTCGTTTTCTTGTTCAGCAACCGCGAGGTTTTTACTTCTTCTCTCCTTCGTTTCGGCAGTATCGCCTTCAGAGCCTGGAAGAGTACACTGATATACAGTCTACTAGGCCAAACGCTTCAATAACATTTCGAAACCGACCTTCCCTAAACCTCGGTATGACTAATCAATATGTATTCTTTCTTGATAAGCTTGCACGAGGTTGATAAATATATTTATTTTCGGCTAACGTTTCGACGTTTTCGTCTTCCTCAGAGCCGGTGATCCGAGTCGATGGTTTCGATTCGAGAAGATGGCTCACTGAGGAAGATCTGACTCGACACGAAGGCGAAGACGCAACGTCGAGGCGAACAACAAGCCTGGACCATCGACTCGGATCACCGGCTCTGAGGAAGACGAAGACGTCGAAACGTTAGCCGAAAATAAATATATTTATCAACCTCGTGCAAGCTTATCAAGAAAGAATACATATTGCTTCAATAACACTTACCAAAAGACGAAAAACTCTTTGGTAATTACATAATCAACAACTTCTCGAAAAGCCCACCGTTTTTTACGTGACTTCCAATGAGGAAGTTTGGAACAGCTGATTATAGTCGCATGTGGTTGAAGACTGCACCATCCCACATCAGAAATTGATGCGAACATACGGGGTCAGGTCGCGTATGACCTCCGGGCATTCATCTCTGCTATTCATTGTAGAGTTTTTGACATTTATCCAAAAAGCCTCAAGAAGTTTTCGCGCTAGTGTTTTGGACTCCTGTGCAAGGATATTGACTTTTACTTCAAAATCGTCTCCGCTGTGCTTTTGTATCCTATGCGTGCCTAGTGGAGTACTTCGTCTTAGTTTTCGTTTGCCATCTAGGTGTTCTTTTACACGGATACACAAAGGTCTGCTCGTTCCGCCAATGTATTCATCTCCGCAATTATTACAAGAGATCAGGTATATCGTACCTGAACTCATGCAATCACCGTCCCTTCCGTAAGGGCAAATTACGCGATTTGTTGTTTCACACAGTCATACAGGCGGTTACGAACTAATTGACGACGTAGAGTAGCCGGTGATATTTCAACTATCGCTACCGATTTCTCTAGACCTGCCCTTCTTAAGTATCGTTTTATAGCTATGCTTACTTCATCGCTTATAAAAGGCAACATAAACGGGACTTTCTTTCGGCCAAGTGTTTCCCGTGGGCGCGTCGCTCTACTTCTAAACTTATCTCGTGGGGTTACTATTTCGTAGCCATTGGAGATGGCTATTTGCCGAGCCAAGTCGCGCGATTCTTCCTTTAGTTCTCTGGTAGTGCACACAGAGGTGGCTGCTCGAAACATGTTTCTCACAATTTCTCACAATGTATCCATTTACTTGTTTACTTATTTGTTCATTTACTTACTTGTTTACATGGTCCGACATCACATATTGTGCGATTCCCAGCAATCCCTTCATTCGGTTCCTTGTCTCGCAAGCACAATTTACGAATTTCTTTTGATTTGCGCGTAAGGTAGAATCTTGCTTAAGAATTTCGTCTTCTTCATGAATGAATTCTGGTTAAAATGATCCCTACCAGGACTCTGGGATTTCCGTTTGTTGTTCGAGCGTCCAACGTGTTCACTAATACAGAATTGCGGGTCTTTTTTGTTTAAAGGAACTCTTCCAGACAAGACTAGTGCCACTCGGATCATCGGTGAGAGATTGGGGCACTTGCTTGGACCTATGTCGGTTCCCGTCAATGACCTTGTATATCGTGTAGCCTCATCTCTAATCACTGCGCTTTTCGCGAGTACTTATCCCTTTATTTTCGTAGTTTTTGAAAATGCAATACAGAAAATGTAAACACTATTAAATTAGGCGAATTTTGTAGAAGGAATACATTATTGAATATTGCGGGACACTTTTCCTTCCTCTAATTTCCAGTGCTTATGAAATATATTATCATTTTCTTGTTCTTTTGGAGGAAAACATTGGAAAGCATTGCTATTTCCGTGACACAGAACCCTATACCTTTCTTTCTCGATTCCTTTCTTTCATTCTTTCCTCCTCGCCCTTTCTCTGCTGCTCGCCCTCTTCTTCCTTGATTTTCTTCTGTCTGCAGCTGAACCATTTTCAGCGCGCATGGTAGTCCATGGGTGTCGGCAATCACTAAAGCTCATCTTTATCATGACGGTCGTGTAGTGAGTTCTATTTAATTAACATGCAGAAATCTCATAATTTTACGTAGTTTAATCAATTATTTCAAAATTACTCTTTTTAAGGGCAAGGTATATTGCGAAATATCTCAGCGTCACTGAAGCTATATTTCAGAACCTTTGTTCTTTATTATGTAGAAAATCCCTAGTTATAAAAGTTTGGACTACCAACCTTACATATATTGGCTACAAAAACATTAAAAGAATGAATATGCAGTTAGACGGTGTTCAATACTAGTTTACCATCAAAGCAGATTTGCGGCTATTTTTGGCCATTGAAACAATTCTTATTGAAATCTGAACTCCTAAATTCATGCATCATGTTGACCGAATTGGCTGCAAGTTTTCTAAGCACATTAGGACAGATTTTAGGCAGTAGCTACGTGGAATGTAGTAGTCCAATTCAGTCGGCAATACCGAATAATCACCACTTCGAGATAGAATCGTCGACTTGGTGTGAATTTGCACCCGGAACTTTTCGTTGTCCCGTGGAGAGAATCTGAAACTTGGATAATTAAACCATTCATAACGAAATAGTACAATAATAATGATAAGATGATATCAGGAAATACAAACAATTAGAGCGCAGAGACAACGGACTCAACGAGCATAGATAAGCCATTGAGTAAGAAGTTACACTGAAAATACGACGAAAGCAGCTTCTGCAGTAGACTGGTAATGTGACTGAAATTTTATATGAACCACAGCTAAATCAAGAAGACTGAGGAACAACTGAAGGCGCGGGAGATGAGACCAAATGGTAATAGACCGGAGAAGCAATATTAAGAATAACTGCAGCAAGGAATAAGAGTAAGCGAAATCTCACTGATTGGAGCGAAAAAAGCATAACTTACAACTGAGGTTAATGTGGCTTATATTAATAGAGCTCGGCACTAAAATTCTACTACGTAAAACGAGAAGGCAAGAGGCAGATGGAGATAGCAAGAACACTACTTGGGTGGACTGAGGAGTGACTAGCGATGCTTGTGTTTATACACCTTCTTTGACAGGCAGAGTGTTGATAAAGGAAACTAGAGCTAGTAAATAAAGAAATAGAAAAGTAAATAATAAGTTAAAATTGTGAAATAGAATAAAAGGAATAGAATAAAACTAGGGTTAGTAAATAAAAACAATAAGAAAAGTAAGTAATAAGTTGAAATTGTGATTATAATTAGAGTGTTCAAAGGGAGATTCTAGAACGCATCTCATAGGAATGATATACAACATCAGTTACCTTCTGGCGAATGTTGTCCATATAAATAGATGGTTTTTCCTTAGGAGATGTGCAGGCCTTAATGCCTCTTTTTGCCTTTCGGCGTCGTGAAACAGTTATTATTGGAGATTGTAGGTCATGTAAATGGGTTTAGTCGCTAACTGAGGATCCACCTTTCAACCTTATTGAAACTTTTAAAGCAAGTTGAGTATTGTTCTGAGTAGAATCTCAAGACAGCGGGGACATTACTTTGCCTTCAGCACAGGCAGTTTGCCTGCTTGTACAGCAGATCCACATTTCATTCGATGAACATTTTAGAACAAGTGGAATTTGTTACTCTGCATGGGCTTCTACGACCTACCTTAGCTATGTGATACAATATCTCAAACTGAAATCTGTTGGGATTCAAGTTGCCCGCTTAATTAGGACATTATCAGTACGAAGAACGATGGTATTCTGAAGTTTCCTGAGCACGCACAACAAAAAAATTGGCAGTCTTTACTTTTTTGTGATAGAACCACTTTTTTTGAGTTGTATAAAAAATTGCTTTCTTTTTGTTTTGCTACAGATCTTCAAAGAGGGTGTCTCTATCAATACTTCTGATTTCTGTTACGTAAGAGAAGGCACGATTCTCATAATTTCACAATAAAGCTTAGGCGCAGTCGGAAGAGTTATTATCTGCTTCTGAGAGTCCTACGTCTGTCATATTTGGCAAATTTCTGATCCGAAATAGAATGTTTTACACTGGTTTTTACTATCTAAACTGCTTACTGCGCATAGCACAGTGGTCGCAGGCGCCCTGCGATACACATCTGATCGATCCCTGCGCCAAGGCACACCGAGACCTCCTTCCCTCTGGAGTTAATAAATTAGTACAAGATTTCTCTGGGAAAATAGCAGTACCCGTACAAGTCAGATATGCATTCAATCACCTCCAGACGATACTTAATGAAATCGAGTGCGTGGCGCACCCCTCAGGAATTGATCAACGCCGAGGGCTTTATCCTTCTTCCTTTATTACATACCATTTCTGAGACTTTACGAAAGAGTCGGACCTTTTGTAGGAATCCCTTTCATGAACATTTCTTTTGTTCTTGAGTAAGCAAGGCCGGAATGAGACTGTTTCAGTTTTTCATTGCTATCGTAGCAGATAGGTCTGGTACGAATTTGCCGACCCCGGAGAGATGGAAGGCTTGCTGGGCCATAGGCGCATCGACCGATTCCACGTATGTTGCAGGGCGCCTCCGACCACTGCGCCACGCGCTCCCTGTAAAGATTGCTCTTGGAGGGATCACCTATATCACCTGTAGTCCCATTAATCGTCGAGTGACTCGAGCGGGCGCCAGTAAATCTTCCATTTTGCCCTATCGCGTGCAAGGGTAGCCCAGTGGATTCTGCTCGCTATAGAGAGTCGTCCATCATCACATTTTTGTTCTACGCTCTTCGTGAAGAACTCTGACTATCGGATCGATGGTCTTCCCACAGTACGTTTGACCTCACGAGGAATCCAGCTACTAACGGCTCTTGCGGTTGTCGTTCATACACATTACGTGCCCGGCCCACCTAGTCTTTGACTGTTTCGCGTACACAACTGCATCTTTGATTTTTGATCGCTGACGCAGGTCGGAGCTTCGGATACCATCTCTTAATTGTGTGAAACGGAATACTAGCATGCGAACATTGGAATTCTGGAGGGTGGCGGGAAATAATTTTGGCCAGATGATATTGTCTTGCCTAACCACACTTTTGACGTCACTGTTAATATCGTTGTAGAATGGTGATATCTTGGTTGTAAAATTTTTGTACGGCTCACGAAAAATTCTTTATGTACTGAGTAGGGACTCCTTGACTATCAAGCGCTTCCATAACTGCTTCTATCTCAGTTGAATCAATGGCCTTCTGCAAATCGATGAAAGCGAGACAGAGCGGTCTTTTGTACTCTCGCGATACTTCAATGAGCCTTGTTATCGTGTGGATGTGGTCCATTGTACTAAATCCTTTTCGAAACCCTGCTTGCTCACATGGCTGTCCTTCCTCCAATGTTCTCTCAATTCTGTTTAGGATGACTCCAGTGAAAAGTTTGTAGACGACAGACAGAAAGCAGATTGGGCGATTGTTGCCGATATTGTGTAGGCCACCCTTCTTGAACAATAGCACGGTCCTGCTGGTGTTCCACTGAGTAGGGGCCTTGCATTTGGACAGGTAACGTGTGAAGAGCCGAGCCAGTGTGTTTACGAGGGCTGGCGGAAGGTTCTTCAGATATTATGGTTTTATCATGTCCGGACCTGGTGCGGTTCGATATTTCACCGACCAAATGGCATGAAAGATTTCGGAAGGGAGAACCGGTGGTGCGACATATCCATCCTACTTTATTTCATATGACGGAAGGTGGACGTGGCTATCGAAGAGATCCGAGCAGTATTCGGGAATGATTTTCTCCATAGCCTTTCCGCACGCTGTAACTGTTCCGTCTGGACGTCGGATGGCAATCATCTTGGTCTTGCAATTGGCAAAACTTCGATGGGCTTTGCGAATGCTTTTCCCAGCCTCGAAGGAGGCGATTCCCAGCAGCTTCGACATTATTGCTGTTGTTCTCTCATTAAGATCTTTTATCTCCTGTCTGCATTGTTTTGCAAGTTCGGACGTAGGTTCCCGGTTATCTGCAGCTCGTGCGATTCCACGCTGGCGTATCAGCTCGAGTGTTTCTGGAGGCAGTAATCTCTTAGTGACTTCCAAACTCTTGCTTTCATAGCGCGAACGTGAAGATGTTGAATAAGCCGATCGTATTCTTCGTCGATGTTATCGACAACGGCATCTTCCTAGTAGCCGACTAATGAATGAAATAAGTCCCAGTTAATGGTGGTTCTGGGATTTCGATTTTTGAATTTAGCGGCTTTTTCTCCTTTTTGGGAGAAATAGAATCTTGCACGAAGGAGGCGATGGTCTGATCCCGTGTAGAATTTTGAGACAACAGCGACATCTAGGCAAAACCTTCTATTTACTATGATGTGGTCTATTTCGTAATGTACTCTCCATTGGGAGACTCCCACGTCCGGTACTGAGGGTGGGGCTTCTGGAATTGCGAGTTGCTATGGAGTTGTCTTGGTTGCCACGATAAACTCAGATAGCCGCTCACCCTATTCGTTCCATTCTAATCGGTGGCTCTCAATTTGACGTTCTTCAGACCTTGCTTGGTTCAATCTTAGCGTTGAAATCGCCGATTATGACTTTGAAAAATTTGTTGTCTTCTCTGTAGAACTTCTCCAATTCCATATAGAACGCTTCGACATCTTCTTCGTCATAGTTTGATGACGGCGCGTGAGTGACGAAGATTGTCAAATCCGGAATTGATCCACGTCTTTTTAATTGTAAACGTCCGATTCGGATTGTAAATTGTTCGAATGAATCGGTCTTCATGGACAAACTCGTGTTGACGAGAACGCCAACGCCGCCGACTCCTCTACCGCAGCATGTTCCGAGGAACAGTTCCTCTCCGGTGTTATAGACGGCGCTGAAAGGCTGACGTCTTCTCATCTGGCCCAGGCCGATGACGTCGTACCTTATCCTTCATGCTTGCTTGAGCAAGTCTTCTATCGAGGACTCGGATGCAAGTGTACGTGCATTGTAGGTACAGAGAGATCGTTACCGTAGTTCTTTGTAACCCAGGCAGCTTCTATTTGCCGTGAGATTTTAGCAGCCTCTCCGTATTCGTCTTTCCCCAACGCTGCCCAATTGAGGTCTCTTTCGGAGTCGGAGGAATGAGGGCCATTTCTTTTACTGTTTTTACCTTTTCGACACCCGCGTATAGCTTGCTGAGCTCTGAACGTGGGAGCTGGGAATATTCACGGGTACCTTGCCAGACTCTCCCAAAGTGGACATGCAGCTTATTTGTTGGAGGCAACTCCTAACCGCCTCCCATAACCTTCCCTGTCACTTGATTGCAGGCTTTTGACCGAATTGACTCGTAGAATACAATGCACATAAGCGAGAACGCACCCACACATGTATGCATGAATACGCCTAGCAAATACAGAAAGTATGCCCCAAATCAGCGCAGCAGAAACAGGGAGTCCATTCCCTGGATCCACCTGCGTCTCAGAGAAGCAAAGGTCGCTTTTGGTCTGCGATTAATCCCCTATCCACCACCTGGGGACGCGCCACGTAGCCTTGCGACTAACCGGCTCGAGATCCCTCATATGAGTGAGATATGAGTGGAAAGGGATAAATAAATATATCAATATTATGCTGGGGAACGAACGCGCTATTGTCCTTTCCGGGGAGTAACGCGTTCACCACCACACCATGTGGGTCCTTCGTTTCGCCTGTCTCTTAGCTATTTCTATCGATCTTTTTGCCACAGCAATCACCCGTCAGCGGGGTTGATCTGGGGAGCGCAAATCGGCATAGAACCCAGTTAAGCTATGGCTGTAGTTGAAATCACAATGTTTAACGTTTTGTTTTCTGTCTTCTATAATTTTCATGGCAGGTTACTAAGCGAAATACAACCACAACGTTGCTGAGATATTTGCAAAACTCTGGACCGCAGGTGTCTATGGTGGGGAACGAACG